TATTGTACTAGAAGAAAAGGGTGTTCGTGCTTGTTTAGCACATAAACATGAATCACAATGCAAAGTATGTCGAGAATCCAAATTACAACCTATGAAATCTTGTAATAAAAGAAACTTGTCAACTGAAGGATGCCCCAGTCTAGCATGCCAAAGATCCATCGACTCAGCACGACGAACCACCTTGCACGCTTGCGGGAGAGAACCACCAGTAACCAGCCGAAGATAGTAGAGTCCGTCTCAAAGCTTACCGACGCCAATCAGCGTCCTGGAAGGTAAGGCCTGGAGCACACAGAAATCATGAATGAAAACCACTGCAACGTTGTGATCCCATGTTAAGCGACTCACTGATAACAAGTTACATTTGAAACCCGGAACATATAAAACCCGATCCAGACGAAGAGAGTCAGATAACTGAACTGAACCAAGCCCACATATAGGGATACCAGTACCATCGGGAATCTGAACCTTAGGAGACCCGGGGACACTATCAACGGAACTCAACCAACTAGAATCACGAACGATATGTTCATTACAGCCAGAATCAATTAACCACTCATAAAGATCAGGAGTATTACCCGCCATATGTGCCGTGGAATCCACAATGGTGTCTGAAGTAGAAGCCGACAAGAATTGCTTGAGGTGAGCAAACTGCATGGCAGTTAAACCTGGGATAGGGCTGCTGTCCGCGGGTTCGGGCTCGATGTGAGCTGCTTTTGGACGATGCTGGGTGCTCGACGGGCGCTCATCACTGGACTTAGCGCGAGGATGGCCGGGAGGATACCCTATAAGGCGATAGCAAGTCTCGCGGAGGTGTCACAGCTTGTTGCAATTAGTGCAACACATCTTCTCACGGTCATCCTTCAAGTCTTTGTCAGCCTGGGCTTGAAAAACAGTGGTGTCCACAGCTGGAGGCCGACCACTAGTAAGCAAACGATGCTACTCCTTAGCCGAGACCCGTTGATAAGCATCGACCAGTGTGGGCGTGGGGCGGGTGCTCAGGATTTGCGAACGAACAACAGCATAACCATCGTCCAAACTCAACAAAAAGTCAAATAACCTCTCTGTTTCTTGTTTCGCCTGATGTTGAGAGAGCAAGTCACAGCAGAAGCCGCCACATGTGCACCCTGAGCAAACTCAACGAGGAGTGACACTAACAGAATCTAGCTCGTCCCAGTATGACCGCAGCTTGGTATAAAAGGCGGATACATAAGTTTTTCTTGGCACAAAGAGCTAATTAAATGGCGCAATTCATAAGCGCATTGAGTCGAGCCCTTGCTAAAACGCTTCTGCAAATCAGACCAAATATCCCGAGCTGTAGTGGCCATCTGAACACTGTTCCTCACCTCCCGCGACATCGCGGTCTTGAGCCAACCCTTAACGGTTGCATCACAAAGGTCCCACGCCTCTTGACGATGCGGAGTACCAGCCTTTGCGCGAGGTAACGTGCTATCAAAAAAGGACATCTTGTTCTTAGCTATGAGAGTCTCAGTCAGGTCATTAACCCACTCGCCATAATTCAGATCGGTGAGTAAATCGCTACCAAAGAGTTGCGCCGGATTTTTCAGAGTGATGAAGGTAGAGGGGAGAGCTGATCGAAATTACCTCGTCACTTAGGATATCACCGCCAGATCCACTACTCTTAGGGTCTTCGTCCTTGCCCATGATGAACCAACACGAAAGGTATGAATATTACTGCTCTGATACCATGTACAATAGTCGAATGCGGAAAGTAAAGGATGCACGAGATTTACGTGGTTTCCCAGAAGGTCGGGACTAGTCCACGGAGAGCATAGCTCTCATGCTGTAGTTTTCACTATGAAGAAGAAGAGTGAGCTACAACCTCTGCGTTAGGGTTACAAGAGGGCAGCAGAAGAATCCTTATACCCATCGACATGTAACTCGGGTATCGGGCAAATAACAAAACAAGTCCAAAACTAATAAAAGCAAACATATAGGTCCAATACGGCCCAATAAAGTGAACCTGGGAAAGCTGCGTGTGAAAGACAAACTGCTTTTGGTTGTCAATCTTGAGTAGGGGTGGTAATTGGTAAGCCGGTATTCGGTATTCGGTATTACCGGATACCGCACCGGATACCGATGGTATCCGGTATACTGAATACCGGCGGTATCGTTATTCGATGGCGTAATTTGGCAATCTGGTATACCGGATAATACCCGGTAATATACTGACGACAATCCGGTATACCGGAATACCGAAATAGTGGAGCTTAATTCCACCAGTTAGCCGTAATAGTTGCCAAACCAAAGAGCAAAGACCCTTCTATTTTCCGTCTCCAACTTCTTTGTTACACTTCCACTCTCTTTCCTCTCTAATAATTCCTACTTTCATTTGTTACCTTGCCATTCTCTTTTCATATATATACCACAGTTACCACAATCTCTCTTCATCCACAACTCACCAGTTACTGATCATCTTGTGCGTTTCCTCAGGAACTCTCTCTATTTCGGAGAATTTAGAACTCACAATTCAATGACTATAGTTTTGGTAAAAAACGATCTATCCGATATCCGGTATACCGGTAATGACTACGGTATCCGGTATACCGGATAATTTTCGATATCGGTATTCGGCGGCAGAATTTCAATTGCCGATATACCGAATACCGGTTACTCGGTATCCGGTATACCGGATACCGAACGATTACCACCCCTAATCTTGAGGTAGTTGGGTGTGTTTTGTGGAATTAGTTGAGAGTAGTCTTCTTGTTTCTCTTTGTATCTTAGAAAGAGTGGGTCTGATCTTAGCTAGAAGAGAGAGTTTTGAAATTTAGATTCATTGCCATTGTGAAGGTTTGATTCTCATCTTAAAAGAATCAACTTGCAGTTAGCTTGAAATAAGATAAAATTAGTATATAGGTCTCAAAGGAAAACCACCATCAAGGTTGTTAAACTCCTATCGAGTCTTCGGTTGGACCCAGTCCGACCTAAGTCGGGCTTCAAAACGCTCTCAAGAAAGTCACCAGGTCTGACCCCTAAAGAGGGAGAAGAAAATAGGGAAAAGAGAGGAAGATGAACGAAGGAAGAGAGATGGTGGGTGGGTCATGGAGGATAGATAAATTTATTTTGTGGAAAATAAGTTTTTAATAGATACATGTAAGATAAATTTAATTTCAGTCATTAAATGTTTAATTACTATCTTTATATATATATAGAAAACGTAAAAAACGGCTCAAATCGGCCGGACCCCGATTAGATCATTAAATCTCAAACTCTTTACTTAACCGGCTCAATGACTTAAACCGATTTGACAACCTTGGCCACCATTGAGCAAGGAAGTAGAGAATTGCACCACAGTCGAACCTCATTAACAAATATCATTTGTCATTTACATTTAAGCTCTTACTTTATTGCTCATCTACTTCATCATCAACATGTTTGAGATTTCGACAATCTCATCACCACCGTTATCAATAGATTGATACATCATAATTGAGTGAGATCTTTTCTTTCTCGTTCACGTGTAATGGCTAATTTGATAATGAAAGTTTTCACAATGTCTATTTAGTAAAGTTGCATTGCGATGAGACATCCTATACGTTAGAATTAGTATCGAGGACTTCAAGTGCACAAATTCTTGCCTCTCCAAATCGAGACAAATTGCCAGACTCTTGTCACTAAATTAAACTATGAAGCAATCTCTGAACAAGAGATGAGAACCATATGTGAACAAATTCGACAAAAGGCCATTGCTTAGGAAACCATTTATCGCAACTTTCTGGTAGCGAGGGCAATGTATCTGCTCATATTCTTTCTCGAACATAATGTAACTGGGAAGAAACTGAGATTTGTTTTCGTTAAATAAGAAAATAAAATTTGGTTGAATCACCCTCCATTGTCGGGAAATGATTCATGTAATTCGGTTTTTGTTAACCCTTTAATAAAGGAATACAAGTTTTTCATAAGAAAAAATAAAAATAAAACACCATTGTAGTTATGATGTAACAAAATAAAAATAAAAATCTAATCTAATTTTGTGGTTATGGACCATTAATTTAAGTCTCTTCACCATGAATGTATAAATGTAACTCAAGGCATAGCATATTTATTAAGTACTATCCAATCTATTTCCAAATTTACTGCCGTCCATCAAAAGCAATTACTTGAGTAAAGAGGAATTTTACAATGCTATATAGCATTGGTGCTATAGGTTTTTACCTTTATGGTACAACTTGAAATTGTAGCTTTAATGTTATGGTACAACTTCATATTGTACCTATACTTTTTGTACAAATTCTTTTATGGTACAACTTAAACTTGTACCTTATGTGATGGTACAACTTCAAGTTGTAAAGTTGTACCATAACATAATGATACAAATTCCTTTATGGTACAACCTAAACTTGTACATTTAATGTTATGGTACAACTTCAAGTTGTACATTAAAGCACCAATACTATATAGCATAGTAGAAGTGCTCACACTAATCTAGTCACAAATAAATAGTATAACATCAACTGTAAATTTATGCTACCTTCATGAGCACAACATGATACAATATTAATGGTCTCGAGAAAACAAGGACACACAATTACAAAAAAAAAAAAAAAAAAAAATCTCAATTGATTTCTTGATTAGGTAGTATTGACATTTGGCTTATAAAATGAATTTATACACTGTAACAGTATTTGAATAATTCACCAATCTAAGTAAAAAAAGGAAAAACTAAACCAATAAATTTCGATATGTTTGTTAGGAGTAACATGTTTTCTACAACAAAAAAAAAGGAGTAACAAGTTTTCTTGTTAAACCATGGCTAGTATCCCGCACTAACACAAATCTTCTTGTTAGAGGCTAGGAAAAAAAAGGACGACATGCAAATGCAAAACCTTATTATAACTGATATAAATATATTCTTCCACAATTCAAAGCTCAAAACTAAAGAAAGTCGAGAAAAACAAAAACACCCAATCATGTCGAGAATGCAAATACCGTCACTATCATCAATGCTCTCGTGGTACGCCTCCCTGACCACGACTGTGATGCTTTTACAGACGGCGTTCAATACTCTCATCCCTCATGAACTCCGGTCATACCTCTTCCACTTGATCCGTAAATGGTTCTTCAAACCCCATCCCAACGGGCTCCTCACTTTAGTCTTCGACGACAACTCCTCCGGCGGCTACGCCCGCAATGAGATATACGACGCCGCAGAGGCCTACCTCGCCACCAAAATCAGCAACAAAGCCGACTGTCTCCGGGTCACTAAAACCCCCGGCAACAAGAACCTTATCCTCTCATTCGAAGACAATGAGAAAATCTACGACGAGTTCAAAGGCGTCGACCTTAGCTGGCGATTCCACCGCAACACGGGATCCGACCCCAACAAGCCCACCCCGGAGAAGCGTTGTTTCCACCTGACCCTCCCCAAACAGGACAAGGACCTCATTCTTGGCTCTTACATTCCCTTCATCATCGAAACAGTGAAGAGGATGCGGAACAACGAGAGAGTCTTGAAGATTCACACCATTGATCGATACAGTGGTGGGAAGTGGACTAATGTCAACTTAAAGCACCCCGCAACTTTCGACACTTTGGCGATGGAGCCCTCGCTCAAGGAGGCGGTGATTGCCGACATGGAAAGGTTCCGTTGCAGGAAGGATTTTTATAAAAGGGTGGGGCGGGCTTGGAAAAGGGGCTATTTACTCTATGGCCCGCCTGGAACTGGGAAATCCAGCTTGATTGCTTCGATGGCTAATTATATGAAGTTTGATATTTACGATCTGCAACTCTCCTCCATAAGCGACGATAGCGAACTCCGCCGTGTGTTGCTCGCCACTGCCAACAGGTCTATTCTAGTGATTGAGGATATTGATTGTGGCGGTGATTTGCCCGATCGAAAAACGGCTCAGGTTTGTAACAATCCAAAATTTTGCTTCAGATTTCACTCTGTTTCCCCCCAAGAAACTACTTTTGATGCCGTTTTTCTTGTACAGACATCCAATGCAAACCACAACGCATATACCCGTAAGCCAAAGGTGAGGGTTAATTTCTTGCCCGCCTACCCTTCTTTCCTTGGAGCTTTTCTACTACAACACTGAATGAATTGGTTTTGTTTAAATGCTTTGGTTACAGATAACACTATCTGGTTTATTGAATTTCATCGATGGGTTATGGTCGAGCTGCGGGGATGAGAGGATTATAGTGTTTACGACCAACCACAAGGATAGGCTCGATTCAGCCCTATTGCGGCCGGGTCGGATGGATATGCATATCCATATGTCCTACTGCACTAGCCAAGGTTTAAAGGTGCTGGTCCAGAATTACTTGGGGAGGGATGGTGGGACCCACAAGTTGTATGGAGAAATTGAGAGGTTGATCGAGGATGCACAGGTCACCCCTGCCCAAGTGGCCGAGAAGCTGATGACGAGTGATGATGCTGATGTGGCACTAGATGAGCTGCTCAATTTTCTCATGGTCAAGGGAGGGGAAGCAACAGAAACCACTAAGACCGATAGTGAAATAGATGAAGAATGTGATTAGAAATATGTCCATCTATGTCGTAGTTATATTTCCTTGAATTTTTTTTGTTTGACATGGCCCGTCTTTGAGAAGTGATTATCTGTTTTAAAAGTTGAAATTGAATTAAACATCTGTTTAAATTTGATTTTCGAAAAAGATTGAAAAAATATTTCTTAGTTCATTTGCATGCCAACGAGACTCCCTCAATCATTTTTAATTTTCATTTGGTCAACAACTTATAGCTTCCTATTTAACTCAGATTTATTATTTTTTCCAATAAGATAAAACAAAATCCATTGTGATATGGAAAATAATATTTGTTTTTGTTATATATTCAAATAAAAAAAATTCAATCGCCATTAGAGACATGTCTGAGTATAGAAAACTGTCACGTACCATTGCAATGGAAAATTACTCTACCTTCATAATATTTTTGTACTAGTTTTTTTACGTTTGTTTTGAATGTGGCATGTGTTATTAGGAGGATATCACTTATATAAATTCATTTTCATATATAAAAATGTGCGTAAGTCGCACCCGCAACTCTTAGGTTTAAATCAAAGAGATCTATTATCATATGCATTTCTATCAATCCACGAGTGTGCAAATCGCACACCCCATGATCTAATACAACGAAGATGAATCAACAACAGTTAGTTGGCCTACATAAATAATGTTATCTAGATTCTTTATAGAATGAGCATGGGAAAACAAATGTTGTCTGGTGATTTGGGTCGAATTGTACACATTGTACCCCTCATATCTTGATAGTTTGGCTTTACATTTCATTGTCCCTCGAAATATTTCACGCTAGGTTGTGCTTGTTTTTTATACATTTCAGGTCCTAACACGTGTGAGAAGGTCGAGGACGAGTTTCGGGTCGATTGGAGGTTGAAAAGTGCCAAAAAGTGAAAAACGACAGTGATAATTGCCCCGTATCCATAAACATCAAGGCGTCCAGCGAGCTTCCAGAAGTTACTGACGCCAAGGGAGTTCACAGTCTCTATGACCGTGAACTTGGAGCACAAACCGTGAACCCAAGAGAATGAAGTAATGTGTTTGGGAGACGAAACTGAGTTCACGGACGCGTTTAGGTGTTCATGGCCGTGAACTGGTCACTTTCGGGAAAATATGAAGACAGTAGCGGGGAGAAAGAAAGGAGAGGGGGGTTTTGGAGAAGGAATACTTTCTTTCTCTAGGGTTTCAACCCAAAACACCAAGGGTGGATGAGTTCATATCTTGATTTTGTAAACATACTAGACGATTGTAGGCCCTGATAATCACTATTAAAGTACTTAGCATAAGTGAATTAGTTATCTTGCCTCACTCTGTCACCTCTACGATTGTTAGCTTCATCTCGAAATCCACACATCTCATAGTATAAATTATTTTCCCCCTATTTTCTTGTGTTAATGTGCTTTGCAAGTTTGTTCTTTTTTTTTGTGTGAATCGGGTGCTTTTATTCCTACATACAAAAGCATGCAAAGTTCATTCTTCAATCCTGATAGAACAGAAAGTGAAACTCCAAAGGAAAATCCCAAAAGCATAGACCAAAAAATGAAGTGTATCTAACTAGCAACTTTGCTAATAGTACATTATGCCTTCTCTCAACTAACTGAAATACTGAGTGAAAATAAATCAGTACAACAATTTGCTTGATAATAAATCACAAAAAGCAAATGTTGAATCATTAAAACTGAAAACTTCAGGAGTTCGAGGTTACTCTCCATAAAGATTCCTAGAATGCTCCTTCCACATGTATGCCACACAACACTAGAGTACGTCAGCAAGATGCCTAACCGTAGTCTACTTTTTGGAGAGATTACAGGTCACAGTAATTGATGCTTTCCATAAAGATTCCTAGAATGCTCCTTCCACATGTATGCCACACAACACTAGAGTACGTCAGCAAGATGCCTAACCGTAGTCTACTTTTTGGAGAGATTACAGGTCACAGTAATTGATGCTTTCTATGAACTCATGAAAAATATACTAATACATCTAATGTCGTCCAACAATCTTCAAGAGTAAGGGCATTGAAAGAAAAGATGCTCACTTATTTCATTTGGTTAACGCAAAGCAAGAATAAACCATCATTATTTCCCCGATCTTAGAAATTTATCCCTCATTACAGTGCCATCAATCAGCACCAACCAGGTTAAAGAAACTAAAACATGGAATATAGCCTTCCCCTACACAAGAGATGCCCACTAAAAAACAGGCCAGTGGGTCTCATAGTGCCCCATACAATAACAAACGTGAACTTATACATAGGCATACCATTCAAGTAAAGAACTGAACCTTGCATACTTAGATGAGCTTGAATCACATGACATATATTTAGAACTCTTCTCCAAAACTAAAAGCTATTTGAGATAATAATAACAATCTATACTATACCTTAATTCACCCTATACTTCCACATCCATGCCACCCAAATTATTCCACACTGCATTAGCCAGTGCCAAAGCATCCTCGTTATGCAATTCCTAGACCTCCTTTCTTTCTAGGTATGGCCCTTTGTCCCAACCTATTTTAGTTCCGCTTTCATCACCTTGATGTCAAAGGAAGTTAGAACATGGACTATGAATTTGTTTCAATGTTCTTTTAGGACTTGCATCTAGAACTGCATAATAAGAACTGATGATATGAATTGAAATCGTCCTCCATAATAAAGCTTCTTTGCATGCCATAATCTAATCTTTTGAGTAATCTTAGAAAACAATATATCGCTATGAATCAAAGAAAGCTTGCTTAAAACCAGGGGGAGTTCTAAATATCTCATCGATAGACTTCGCTCATAGATCCTGGACGACTGTAAAGCATTATGCTTATACACAACTAATTACAGACATTTGCTGGAAGATTTGTATATGGGCTATCCCGATTTCCCTCATATTTTGGTGTGGAAGGCTTACATTCCATTTTAGGTGTGCTTCTTTGTTCGACTATATACCATAAGAGGATATTGAGGTTGGAAAAATTGAAGAGACGCAAGTGGATTCTTGTAAAAATGTGTGAGCTCTGTCTTAGTGAGGTGGAGATGATTAACCACTTTTCATTAATTGCAATTTTGTCCATGAAGTGCATAATAGAGTTAGCCGTGTCAGTAGAAGAGTTGCAACATGTGATGGTGACATTATGTCAACAATCAAACAATTGCGAGTTTGTAAGAGGAAGAGCATTGGGGAGTGTTTTCAGTTTTGTCTCCTTCATGTTGTGTGTTGAAGTGTGTGTCTTGACAGGGAACAAATATTGTCATCAAGTTAGCCTCTCACCAATGATGCTATCTCAGCGAATTGTGAAGTCTACTTTGGATGACTATTTGCTCATGGGAAATAGAGAAATTAGGAGGAATTCAATGGTTGAGACAACATACATGAGAGGTATTCATGTGAAGCAACTTTCCGGTTAGAGTCTTTCAAGAGGGAGTTGGTGGTGATGTATGCTTCGCTGATGTGTGCTCGTCCCTTTCTTTTAGTGTGTTTCTAGTAGAGTTGTAGTTCGAATGACATGGTGTGGCTTGTTACTTCATACTACAGTTGTGGTTTTGTTGTGAGTGTCTTGTTGTAACTACTTTGACGTGTTGTGTTTGTAGTGTTGCAGGGTGCTAATTATTGGATTGCTTTTTTTTTTTTACTTTACCCCTTGTCTTGTTATGGCCTTTTCTTATATGTTTCTTCTTTAGTTAGCCTTTTTTCTCAGCACCTCCTATGATGGATGCGTTTCTTTTTTGATTTGTTTGAAGAATTTCATCATTTTTCTTTTTTTTTTAAATTCAATTTGCACCACTATTATAAAACCCAGGTGGGTAGCAAGATGTAGTGGCTAAGTAGAGTTTTTTGAGTGTTTGGCCAACTTAAGATGGATGGAGAGGAATTTTTTTATATCGAGCTTTGGCAAAATTATATGATATTACACAAGTGTATGTTTGAGCTCTTGGGATGATTTGGAATCTTGGAATGGGAGTTGAGCATGCTAAGTTGATGGGCGACGACAAACGAGGGTGGGATGATAGATTGTGTTTCATGTTAGCTAAATTATGAGGCCGATGCTTGTGCATGCACGAGTGATCTAATGAAATGTAGGGCATGGGTTGTGATATAAAAAAGTGGATGCAGAATGTGAAAAGGTATTTTAAGGGTAAGTGGGTGTAATTGGATTTCATGCTATCATGATTTCTTTTAGGGTGAATTACTTTGAGTGCCACTAACCTCAAACCTTTAATTGAATGTTCATATGAAATGGAGAGGGGGGGGGGGGGGGTAAAACAACTTAAGCTAAAAGAAGCAACTTAAAGGAGGGTCATTGATATACGAAAAATGAAGACTTGGTCAATTTGTTCGTTACACCATAAAAACTTTACGGTCCCACCAAATTTAGATTTAATGTCACAACGTTCTATTGGCCTCACATATTTTCTCTTTCCCCGAGAAAATCTCCAAATGTTCGTTGTACCCAAACTCTTCCTTCTTTTCATTATATCATTCTAAAATCATTTCTTTCCCATTCTAGATACCCTTTACCCTCTACGGAGGTAAAATTTTATGATTTCTCCAGTACTTTCTAATCATTGTAATTTTTATCGGTTGCTGATGTTATAGAGTTGGGTTTCTGGGTTTTTGTATTGCAGGCATTTGGTTATGGCTTTGGTAATTACTTATGATTGATTGATTCTTCTTTCCCCTTGTTTTTACAAGGTTTTCTCAAACCTTTAAAATAACAAAAAAGTAAAATAAAAAAAGGAATCCAAAAGTTTCTCCCCCGGGTAATGGCTGCATTGTCTCAGCCAAATACACCGCCAGGTTTTGATTCTCTACTTCATGAACTTTTTTATGTGTGAATGAACAATTGATTGGTTTGGTTGTTAAGATTAAAGATTATTATAGTTTGGTGCAGTGGTCGAGACAGAGCAGTCGTTGCATGAGAAGAAGCCCAATAGAACAGAGTCATTGAAGCAAAGAGCAATTAATGCATCCAACAAGTTGAGAAACTCATTGATAAAAAGAGGAGGAAAAAGGAGTAGCAAAATAATGTCGATCGAGATTGAGGATGAGCATGATGCCGAGGAGTTGAAGGCAGTTGATGCTTTTCGGCAGGCTCTTATCTTGGACGAGCTTTTGCCTTCCAAGCATGATGATTACCACATGATGCTTAGGTTCCATCCTTACCACTTTTCTTTATCAAATCTTCTTCAAATTGAAAGCCTCATTCTGTAAAATACGATTATAGGTTCTTGAAGGCCAGGAAATTTGACATCGAGAAAACTAAGCAAATGTGGTCAGATATGCTCCAATGGAGGAAGGAATTTGGATCAGACACAATCATGGAGGTAATAATGTGGTAATTAAAATTCAAAAACTTCTTTTAAAGAAGATGAAATATCAATTTTCTTATCAATTTTTTAATTTTGGGGTGAAGGATTTTGAGTTCAATGAAATAAATGAAGTCCTACAACATTACCCACAAGGGCATCATGGAGTAGATATGGAAGGCAGGCCAGTATACATTGAGAGGCTGGGATTGGTAGACGCAACCAAACTCATGCAAGCAACCAATATGGATAGATATGTGAAGTACCATGTTCAAGAATTTGAGAGGACTTTTGCCATTAAGTTCCCTGCATGTTCCATTGCTGCTAAAAGACAAATTGATCAGAGTACTACCATCTTGGATGTTCAAGGAGTGGTATGTGAACAAGACTAATGGAACCCACAAAAAGTTATAAAGTTTTCCTCTTTGATTTTATTACTACAACATTAGTGAAACAAATTTCTTTTTGGCATCCTAGGGTTTGAAGAACTTCAACAAGGCCGCAAGGGAGCTCATTACCCGCCTTCAGAAGGTTGATGGTGACAATTACCCTGAGGTACTCCATAACCTTTTTTACCCCCTTTTGTTGTTACCTTTTGGTCTTAGGACTGTGAAATGCTCTTTCTATTGTATCTATGTATAACTAAAAATATTGCAGACCTTGAATCGAATGTTCATCATCAATGCCGGTTCTGGATTTAGAATGTTGTGGAACACTGTTAAGTCCTTCCTTGATCCTAAGACCACTGCTAAGATCCATGTAAGTTTTGAGCGTGCAATTACTTCTCTTTAAGTTGTTGAAATCCTTGCTTATTTTTATTCTAGCTCACCTAGACTACTAATAAGTAAAGAGGGCGTGGAATTAACAGGTTCTTGGGAACAAGTACCAAAGCAAGTTGCTTGAGATCATTGATGCTAGGTGATTTTTTCTTTTGTCTATTCCTTAATACAAATTGATTAAAGGTGATAAATTTTAAACTTTTTTGGTGTTGTGGTTAGCGAGTTGCCAGACTTCTTGGGAGGAACTTGCACATGTGAAGACCAAGGTGGTTGTATGCGCTCTGATAAAGGTCCTTGGAAAGATCCTGACATCATTAAGGTGGGTGCTGATTCTGCCAACAGTGAAAAAAACATCTTACAACTTTTTCAAATTCTTCAATTGCATTCTAATTACCTATACTATGTGTTTCATTTACATTTTTAGATGATTCAAAACGGGGAGCACAAATGTAGAAAGACTAGTGAAATTGCTGATAAACCAGACGAGAAGACCATCTCAGAAGACGAGATAATCTATTCAAAGGTTTCATGATTTGAACAAGTAAATACATATGGCTGGGTTAATAGAAGTACCCAAATTACCTTTCTGTTTTTTTGCACAGGCAAGTAACTCACCTAAGGTGGAGTCAGTTCCAGAAGTGGATGACACTATAGTAATAGCAAGGGCCCAAATCGAGCATCCTCAGATTGCTCCTATACTTCACCAAGTTAGTCAGAAAGTAGGTCATTTAATTTACATCTCATCATCTGATGCACTTAAGATGTTGGAATAATCTGAATGACTCATCATTTATCCAGAAGATGTCATTCAAAGGATACAATGCCATAATTGAGAAACCAACAAATATGAGGTGGAAGAATGCAGTTCACAATCATAACTTTGCTTCCATGGGTAAAGGTATAATTACATACAAAATTATGATTTCAAATTAAAAGATCAAAGGTTACATAATGTTCACTTCTTGACGAGTGAATTGTTTCTCACTTTTTGCAGTTGCACTGGATCCTCACAAGTTACCACCAGAGAGTTTCCCTATCATAGATGCTCAAAGGTTACTTGCAGAGGGGGCTAGCTCACCATTAATTACTGGAGTGATGGCATTCGTGACTGGGATCGTGACGATGATCAAGGTGACTAGGAACATGCCAAAGAAGTTGACAAACTCAACCATCTACTCTAGTCCAGTTTATTGTGAGGAACCAATGCAGAGAATGCAGCAGCCAATAGTCACCCAGCCAGCAGTTCCTACTGTTGCGGTATCAGAGTTCATGGCTGTGGTGAAAAGGATGAATGAGATGGAGGAGAAAGTGACTGTGTTGAGCAATAGACCAAACTTGATGCCACCTGAGAAAGAGGACTTGTTGAATGGTGCTTTAACAAGAATTGATACCTTAGAGGAGGAGCTTGCTTCCACCAAGAAGGTATAAGACACAATTGCAATCACAAATTTACTAAAAGATGGTTAGAGTGTGCGAGTGATTTAGAAAGATAGTGAGGGAGAGATAAGGAGATAGTAAGGAAATGTTTAACACAATATAAACTATGTTTTCAGGCTCTGGATGATTCACTTTCAGCACAACAAGAAGTTTTGGCTTATCTTGAGAAAAAGAAAAAGAAGAAGAAGCTGGTAAGCACTCAAACACTCAGATTGGTACACTTCTATTAGATTCCCCCCTCCCCCGTAATTTTTTAGAACCATCAAGTTAAACAAAAAAAAAATAATGAATTGTTTAAATTCTTCTAGATTTATAGACATGATATTTAACCCGGAAAATGTTAGTTTGAACTAGTTGAAGTTTCATAAAGATAAAGGTTTAATGGTATGGGATGTAATCTGACATAGTCTACCTCTAGACTTAATTCTCATCCTATCATTTTGAGAAATTAAGTCATTGACAATCAACGAAATGGTTTTATATTTGAAATGCTCTAATTATTTTTCCCGGTATGCGTGAGTTCAAGGTAGGCTCAAACATTTGCATAGAGATGCTTTATCAAATAATATTTTCTTCATAAATTCAAACTTATCTTAGTAATATTTTTCTGGAAAGTAATATATGGATTCTGGTTGACAATTGTTCTCACTCTCATATCTTCATTTGTTTTTATCTCCAATTGTGTTCATGGAGATCCAGTTCGGCTGGTGAGAACATGAATGAGCAGCTGAGGAAGCAAATAATTGAAAACAATGGGGGAGAAGATGTGATCATCAGTGTCCAAGGCCCAAAACCCAAATGCATCTCTTTTCTTTTCTTTTCCCATACAACCCAAACTAAAGAAAAAAGCACACTGCCATGTACAAAAAAGAAAAGCAGGAAAATTAGTAAAGCAAAAGTTTTGTGTCCTTCGCGCATACTCTTATGCCATTTATCTTTGGGTAAAGGGAAAAGAAAGAAATACTGAAAGCAAAGAGTATATCAGAAAATATTCAGTAAATTTTTATGTACTGTTATATAGAGATGTTTATATTTTTTTTCTTTTTTCTTTTGAATATATGTTTTCCTCTTTGTAAGAACTTTTTTCCATGTAAAGCTCTATTTTCTTGAGAGTGAGGCCGTCTAAGGAGGGAAAAATGATCAGAAAATGAAGGCTATATGTAACATATAGGTAGGTAGTAAATATTTTTTGTGAATAGAAAGTATCCGCAGAGGATCGAAAAGCATTTATATGTATATGCTAGCTAGTTTTTTTAATATGTAACATGCAGGTTTCTCTCATTCTACAAATTACCTCCCATTTTGAAAATTCAATTCTGTTGGCAAAAAACCACTCGAATGGCCAAGAAATCAACATAGTAAAAAACATATAGGAAACAACGAAAGACCTTTCATGGCAAACAAGCGACCTTGTTACCAGAATGTCCAACTAATCATACTTCAAAATTTAGAAAATTATTGCGAATAGCTAAAATCCTATCCTACAAGTCCTCCACCATCATCAGTTGTCCGCCCCTCCCAAAATTTATCCTCACAATCTCCACATCACTTGGAAAAACCTCATACGTTAGCCCCCTAGCCATGCAACATTGAATCTAGTTACAGAGAGCGAGCAACTCCATCGGAAAAGAGTAAAAAATTCCTTCATCCCTACTTGTATTTGTGATTTCTCCTGTATTATTCTTGTATAGCTAAACCCTTAGATTATATGGATTACGTAGAACCCTAGTGGCATCAATGCTTGATTTAGAGTTTGATTTTTTTTTTTTGGATTTATTTATGTGATGATTGTTTGAAGTTTTTTTTTTGGATTAATTGTTGGGGTTAATTGCATGGTTGGTCACTGAGATTACAAAAAGCGTTCATGTTTGGTCACTCTAAATATTTAAATCCATTTTCGGTCACTAACTTTACAAAAACAGTTCATTTATGGTCACTCTCCGTTAGCTGCCGTCCAACGCCGTTAACGGCGTCCGTTAAGTGATGATGTGGCTGACGGATTTGCCTAATCAGCACTTTTTAACCCCAAAATTGACTGACCCGACCCGCCACGTCATTTAAACCCTACATGTCAGCTAAACCTAATCAAACCTCTAACCAAACCAGACCAGACCCGCTAAATAAAACATAACTAATGTGAAGAACTATTGTCCTATCTCTTGTGTAAATCTAGTCTATAAAATTGTAGCTAAAATTGTAGCGCAATGACTTATATATGATTTTGTCTTCAGTGATTAGTGAGAACCAGTATGCTTATAAAAGAGGTAGAAGAATCATGGATAATGTTTTAATGGTTTAGGAGCTAGTGAGTGGCTATCATAACAAACAACTTTCTTCTCGATGTGCAATCAAGGTGGATATCATGAAATCTTTCGATTCAGGGATTTATCTTTTTCTTATGATGAAACTGATGGCTTTCCCAGATCAATTTGTAAATTGCATTCGTAGTTTTTTGCAAACTTCACATTACAATATTAACATTAATGGGGCTTATGTGGTTTCTTTAGAGCTTAGAAGGGGAATATATAGGGTCAGTGGCCGATCACTACAAGAAAACCCACATATAGCAGCTAATTGTTGAGGCAAATATTGTATTTGTCGCTAAAAGGATATTATAAGCAACACATATATAATTGGCCTCAATAGGCACCATTATATGCTTCTAAAAATATTATATATGCAACACATATATAATTTGCCTCAATAGACACAATTATGTGCCTCTAAAAGTATTAGATATACTACACATACATAATTTGCCTCAATATGCAGAATTATGTGCCTCTAAAAATATTAGATATACTACTCATACATAATTTGCCTCTATAGTACATAAGCTTTGCACCTCCAAAAGATTAATAACGACTGATAATTCTTTTGCCGCAATAGATGTTTAATATTTGTCGCTATAATTATTTAGCTTTTAAATGCCCATATTTAGTTTAAAATAGAAAAAATTACTTGAGTTAGGTTCATTTATATCAATATATGCCTCTCCAAAGTATTTTTTATATAAACAAATGCCTCTCCAAAATATTACATGGCTTGCAAACGTCAATAATGCCTCTTCATATCCCCTTGACCCACTCACTCTAAAACAGAGCGCCTCCCAACAAGAAATCCGGATCTCTTCTTCTTCTTCTTCAGCCAGACCTCCAGTCGCAAATTGAAAAGCCTCCCCGCTACACCCACCTCCGGCCTCGCACACCCCTGCATCTCCATCAACCTTTTCTGTCAGAACAGAGAGAAGCGACGACCAGAGAAGCCGCCGTCGGAGCAAAGAGAAGCAGAGACCCCCTTCCTGCCCATATTTCACTCGACAGGACTCTCCGATCTTATCAGGTTTGAATCAATGCCCTCAAGGTCCACATCTGCAATTTATTCTCTCTCTTCATGGACTTTTATGTTTTTGTTCTATCTTCCTTCAATTCGATTTGTTGGGGCGCCGACACTCTGAGATGGTGCAAGATCTGCAATAGGCCGGCCTGGCACGTCTCTCTGAGACGGTGGTGAAGAGAAGTCGAGATGGGACGGGAGACTACCTGGGGGCGGCAGCGACAACGGCATATGAGGCGAGTAGTAGAAAGGCTTGCTAGTCAGGACCCCAAGCAAACCAGAGAAAGGCTCGTAATAGAGAGGTCTCCAAAGCAAACCAGAGAAAGCAGAGCAGAGGCTTGCTAGTCAGGACCCCTGCTGCCCAGATCTAGAGAGAAGCCGCTAAGATTTGTGAGGGCGAGCTTCGAACCGACGACGAACAAGGAAAAAACCTAGATCCTGGAAGATTCATTTCGGTCGAGACTTGCCTATAGTGTTGTGGTGTTTTCCAAGTTTGAGAAACGCCATACTAGAGAGGACAAGAACATTGACGGCACATGTATTAGCCTCAATATTGTTGTTGTGTCTTCGATTATCACATGTCAAGTTGCAGTTTGTATGTTAGCCTGGAAACTAATGTGTGTAAATGACTTGTTTGCTTTATAATTAAAATTATGATTTACATATAAATTATCACATTTTGTTTTACATCTAAAAGGGCATCCAAAACCTTGAATCTAAAAACAATTTTAGAGGCACAAACTTAGGCCTCAACTAGATTAGTTAAAGGCACATGTATTAGCCTCAATAGGTTAATTTTACAAGCAATTCTATCTGCCTCTAAAGATAATATTAGAGGCAAATATTTATGCCTCTAATATGGAATACAAAGGCAAAATAAAAGTGACATTAGCAGCTAAAGTATCAGCCGCAAAATATCTAATCAGCAGCAAATAGTATATGCCGCTATATTTGCCTCTGCAGGGCTATAGCCACTGGAGTATTTGAGGCAAATGTTTTATTTGCCTCTAAATATATACAGAGACAAATAACAGATATATAGCGGCAAATTTCCTTAGTCGCTATATGTGGATTTTCTTGTAGTGGATCCAGAAATTTTTTATAGGGGTGTCCTCTTCCAAAAATTAAATTTAACTAAAAATTAAATTAAATTAAATAATTCATAAATAAAAAAATATGCGACTAGTGCAAATATACCATATTAGACAATAATTCACGATCTGATCGCATATTCGATTTTTAATCTTGTTCTTGATGTAACTCAAACTTGAAAGACTCTTTCAACTCTTGCAATATACCTATAAAATCAATTCAAATTAAGGATAGCTCGAATGAATTTAATTGTTAGGTTTTGAAAACAATTGGGAATAAAGAATAGTGTTTTTACTATTACATAGTGTTTAAAATAGAACAACAAAAGAGTTGCAACCTACAGAATATGTTTAATAATAGTAGTGTCCTAGGTTTGAATAACACAGAGATTACTACTTATATATTTGTAATCATACGCAAACTACTACCGAGAACAGGATAATTTTTTTTTTCAAAATTTAAGGGTGTCCTGGATTACCAATTATAATTTTTTTTATCCATACAAAACTACTACCGGGGGTGGATAATCGTTTTCCTAAATTTTAGGGCTGTCCCGAGACACCCCTAGAGGCCCATGTATCCGCCACTGTATAGGGTGATCCGATGTTTTCTTACTTATTCACTATTTCTATGGAGGGGTTTAATTACTAGTCTGATGAGGCAAGCATCATTGGATGACAGTTCTGTTTCACCCTTTATGTAAGAAGATTATTCTTAATCACCTCAGTTTTGCGGATGATTTGATGATTTTTACGGTTGAATAAGGGCAAGCTATAAGACGAGTGCAATTGCATTTGGAAGAATTCTATTTGTTATATGGATTGAAGTGTAATCCTGCAAAATGTGAAGTTTATTTTGGAGGGGAGTCAGGGATATATAAGGATACAACTTTGCAACTTACTGGGTTTCAGAAGGGTCACTTGCTGGTTAGATACTTGGGGTTGCCTTTATTAACGAGTAAGTTATCCTATAAAGAAGTGGATTGTCTTGTGGAGAAGCTAACAAAGAAGATGAAAACATGGAGAGCTAAGAACCTATCCTGCATTGGGAGACTACAGATGGTGGCTTCAGTGTTCATGGGCATCATACGATACTGGATGCAAATCTTCTTGTTACATAAGAAGGTGATAAAGAGGGTGTATCGAGTTTGTCCCAATTTTTTATGGCATGGAGATGGTGAAGGAAATACCAAATTTTCTTGGGAGAGATTTGCTAAACCACGAAAGGAGGGTGGACTATGGATTAAAGATTTAATATCGTGGAACATGGCATGTGTGGGGCGAATGCTTTGGTTGTTTTTAATGGAGTCAAGGACACTATCTAGGTGGCCTGGATGAAGACTTACAAATGTGGGGATGGATCTATTTCCTCCCTGAAGCTAAATTCTAACAGTTCCTGGGTGTAACGGAGGATTCTGGAACTCAGAGATTCTATAGGAGCTAAACTAAGCAAGCAGGGAGCATATGTATTTTGGGACATCATTCCTATGCCTAAATACTCTGTAAGTACAATATGGAACTCAATTAGAGTGAAAGAAAGCCATGTGTGATGGCATCGATTGATTTGGAATCAATTCTGCCCTCCTAGGTTAAGTATTGTTGCATGGTTGGTGATCCTGCATAGTATAGTGACGAAAGATAAATTACAACATGCGGTAAATTGATTGATCTTAAGTGTCTGCTATGTGATGTAGCTGTTGAAACTAGAGAACATCTATTCTTCTTTTGTTCCTTTGATAAAGATTTGGTTCAGGGCCTGGGCCTAGAACAAATGTTTTGTCGATCCTCTTGGGATTCCATAATTATTGTTACTTTTGAAGCTTCTCCAAAACAATCTGCTCACGGTCGAGTTGCTGGACTTCTGTGGTGTGTTCTTGTGACTGGCACCTAGAAGGAGCGTTTAAATCGTGTTCATGGCAAGGTGCACTGTTACTTGGCAGTGCTTACACGTAAGATTAAGCGCAACCTTTAATTTATGGAACTCTATAATGAGCAATTGCAAGAGGAGCTGACCTTTTTGCACTTAGATAGAGAGTAGAAAACACTATAGTGTTGTTGATAGTACATAAAATAGCTATACAGTGAAGCTGAGTGGTGAGAGGTAGAAAAGTTGCGAGTACATAGAGAGATATGCCTCTATTCTCGTTGTATCAGATTGCCAATTTGGCTGATTATTAATCCAAGGATATGATTCAACGAAAAAAAATAGTTCCTTTTTTCTATATAATTCTATTATTTTTGCATAATAAATTTTATGAGATGAATCTGAGCAGTCAAAGATAAGATTTTATGGGAGCAGATCCACTGAGTAACTTTGAGATGCTATAACCCCATACATAACACAATAAGAATCCGTCACATCAGCGCCTCCTTCTCTCTTCTCAAAAACTTTAATTTTCCATCCCTTAATCTTTAACGGACGATTTCTCACTCGTTTTAACTCAAAATTTAATTTTTTTTGCACAGTTAGATCGAATTAATTGTGCTCTTCAAAATGATATCCACTTTGATATTTTTGGAACAAAAAAATTTGCCAGTTATTACCAGTCTATACCATATGATATTGACTAATATTAAATAAGAGCATACCATATGGTATGAAAAATACCACCCCATACCAGGGTGGTATATTATGGTATGAAGTTGGTAACGAGAGGTATGAAATTTTTTCACCTAGAAAAATTTGAAATCCAATAGATCATGATTAAATCGTTCATTCTGTGCAAAAATTTCCGAAACGACTAAAAAGGAATGAGATACCATATGATATAGAGTTGGTAGCGAGAGGTATTAAATTTTTTGTCAAAAAATATTGAAAATGTATATCATTTTGTAGAGCACAACGAACTCGTTCTATCTGTGCAAAAAACATTGAAATCCGAGTTAGAATGAAGAAATATGATCCAATCAAGAAAACTAGTGAAAATAAATTTTTTAATTCTCCACCCTTAGATCTGCAGCCACTTAAAGTAAGAGTCCAGATTTGGTTACTCATAATTATGCACTCTATCTTGAGCCAAATTTTATATCCTATACTATTTTGTTCTTTTTAGCATTCTCTAGCTACGTGAAATAAATAAGTGTGCTAATTAATTTATTTCAAATAAAATTTTATTTTCAGAAAATGATTTTTTCCCTGGTTTTTAGTACAATACTAAGGGTCTACATAGTGCATACAGCACGGAATCCAATTGGGGACGGGCTATAAACAAGACGCCCTGGCGGATGGATGAAAGGATCTTAAACAATCGGTACGCTTGGTTTATGCTAATTTAATCAAAAATGAAAAAAAATTAATATCAAATGAATTTAAGTATATATAAAATATATTTGAATACACCAAAGGTAAGATAGTCTAACGGTAAAACTGCTGCGACAGTGAAGGTTTGAGAGTTGCAGTTTCCAGGTTCGAATCCAAGCGAGGCCCGTTGGTGTTCCAGGAGGTACAATGCTGCTGGGGACGAAGCCCCATTGGCGTCGAATTTGATTGCAGGTGGCCCCAATACAATATTCTAAACAGAATACAAATACTCATATTTAAATACAATATTTAATGTCTACATCCAAACATATATAGTTGAATCCAATTAATAACATCAATATTTAATTTCTAAATTTTTGAAATAAATCATGAATTATTTTTTTTAATTAAACACACATATTAACACCATTTTGTTTAGTGACCAGAAATCAATCATAACGATGATATCGGTAGTATTACAACCAATACCGACACCAGGTATACCATGTTTAATCGGCCGGCTGCCATTCCACCTGCGTTACAACCATGATATACGTACACGTTAAAATGCACAGGCATAGAACTAGGGTTCGGAAACGGTCCAATCCGAGCAAATCGAACACGATTGACTTGATTAATTGGATTGGATTTTTGCCCAATACTAATCAAATACTGGATGAATCTGGTCATTCAGTTAACATACTAGCGTGGGCCCTGACCATTTGGCCGGATGAAGGTGAGGTATGAAATTTGATGATGTAATGGGGTGTATAGCTTATTGTTGTATAGTTTTTTTTTTTGAAACACATGATAAAAATAGTGAATTTTAGTAGGAAAGAGACATGAATGATGCAACGAATCAAAAATCAGCATTATGAACCAAAATCAAGTATCTGTTACCTTGTGAAACAATATTGTTTCTGGTAATATGATGAGGTGGAGTAAGTTTTATAGAAACCGAATTCCAGAAAATCGAATAAAAAATCGCCTATCCCGCCGGTTTTTGAGAAATGAGCATCTCACAATCGTTGCTAGCTTTTACTCGGCCCGTTGGTCGATTAATTTGCTTTATAAAACTTTCATCTTGTCATCATTGTGCTTTCTGATTTTTTGCCAAGCCATGACAAAATCTAAATAAATCAAGAATGAACAACACGATTTGGGATAGGAACCACTGTTCCTGTATCCCTAGAAAATGGTGGTAAACACGGATTCACCTGCCAAACTGGTTTGGATTGAGATTTTTATCAGGTATCAGGGAACCATGTGATTATAAATTAGACTTGATCAAAACGGGCCAAAACTTGAAATTCAGCCTGTTTGACTTACCCATGCCAAACTCTAATTATTCTTTACTTTTAAACTTTCTATTTGAAAATAAAAAATAATTAAAGAAAAGAGATAACTGTAATTTGCCATTTGCACATCACGGATTCGGGAATAAAACTATACAATTTCGAATGGAAACTGAAAATGTTTAGGATCGTTTTATTGTTAAAAATAACCAAATAGATCTCTTTGTTTAGTTTTTTACTAACAAATACCAAACGATTCCCTATAATATACACTATAATTTAATCATTATGATATCAAATAGTTACATAATATATATTTGAAATGATAAAAATTGGACTAATTGGATTGGTCGAGGTTGAACCATTGAATAACTTTAAAATACATTATATTTTAGCTACTGAGATATAAAATAATAGCATAATATATATTATGCTAGAGAAAATAGCTTGTTTTAGAATGACAAACCCATGATGTTCATTTGTTTTACTTGATGGGCAAATCCCGTGTAGGTCGGGCCCATTCAACTCTTTTGTTTTATGATTAGTGGTTAGCCCATTAGAATCCATGCATTAGTTTATTATTAAATTTTTCTCTCTTTAGCAATAAAAATGAGTATTGTTTTTGCCTTTTCATATATATTTTACCACCACGGAGAAATAAAAGGACTTAAAGAAAAAATTGACACTCCTGGACCCGTTTAAATCCGCATGTGTACGGTAAGTTAGCCCGTTCCACAGAGGAAAAAGAAAAAAATTGACACTCCCTATTCTACCCTTCCTACAAACGCTCCTGGTGCAGGGAATTTGAAATGGGGGAAGGGGTTTTTCCTCTATACGATTATATGTTTTTAATTTAAAAAGATACAACAAATGTACTTAGTGTTATTGGTTATGATCTTTGCTTTTCTTTAAAGGGGTCATGGTTCGAATCCTAGTAAATGTCTTTTTAATGAATAAAAAAAAAATTGTGAAGACCAAAATGTCCTTCCTACTTTCACTCTGGATGCAGGAAATTTGAAATGGGGCTTCAAGTTTTCTCATTTGGCTTTTATTTATTGTGTAGATGCGTTTTGACCCATTTGCCCCACCAAAACATCATAGTTTATCAGAAATCAAAATTAAAAATATAAAAACTTATGAAAAAATGTGAACGGTTCAATTCCTTCCCTCACACCAAGTTTTTTTTGACAATCCCTCATACCAAGTTCAATCACACAATTTCTATCTATCTTCTATTGTAATGAAAGCGTGCAATCAATAATCCAGATCAGGGAGAATAAATTTCACTACTTTTGAGGAGAGTACAAAACCATACAACCAACCCGATAAACCTAACTACATATTAGGGTGTGAAGAATATTTACAAAACTCTTCTCCTAATTGCCACTAATTGCCAAATAAACAGAGAGTATAACTGCACTCGTACATGAAATAATATGTGGTGACAACAAGCCCTCGTCTCTTATAGAGGTAAACTCCCTAGTTGCAGCAATCACCTTTCAGACGAAGGACACATATCATCTATTTACGTGAGAGTAGTCCTCACAAATAAAAGGAATAACGACATGATGTCTGTTGTATTTGCCCAGGAATGTGAGAATACTAACACTTATCTTCTCACATTTTTATTGTTTTGAACATTCATTTGTACGTCTTGGTTAATTATCTTATGTTCCTCTTTATTTTGTGAATTTTTTTTTATGAACTTTATTTTTCATTTATTAGCATTTTCCAGTAGTTCATTTCTACTTTCTCTCTACTCGTACTTTTGTATACGTCTTTCTCTTCCCTATAACTATATCTTTCTGCTTATTTTGTATGGATAATTATGATCCAAATCAGACCTAAATTTCTCGAGAACTTACGCTTAATATATTTGTAGCAGCAAAATGAGTCTTCCCACTCTTCCCCTGAAAATGATACATCGGTGCTCAATGTACACAACAGCAAGCATATAAACCGTGGAATAAAAGCTATAGTGGGAAGAAAGTGAAGGAATTAATTAAACTAAAGTAATCTAATATCAAATAGCGCCCCAAACCAAAAAGACAAAGCTAGCAAAGTGATGGAATTTTATAGAAATTTCTCCTGAGTGGGTTTTAATATAGTTTATGTTTTGAGAAGCCAAAAGCTGAAGAGATTCTCAAGAGCCCATCATCTTTTTTTGTGGAAATACCTTCATCAATATCAACATCCATCTAGGGATTTTCAAGCTCTCAAAAAAGGAGAAAACAACAAAGAGAAAAGACCCACTTATTGATCCATTATGGAGCCTCCAAATCTCCATCAACACCAAGAACAGTTCACTGGTTACTTCTCTTCTCTGCTCTCCCTCCCTCCCCCAGATCATAACAAGCCAGCAGCACCCACTTTAACCTCCACCAACACTGCCAGTAGCCACTTCCTCAGCTCACAGAACCTCATGTTGTAAGTTCATTTCTTTCTGTTGAAGCTTCCATTGTCATATCTTGTGGTTTGCTAGGGTTTTGATTTAATCATGTATCTCGTGCATATATGGGCAGGAGTGGTAATAACATGAGTTACCAAAACTATCACCAGCTAGCTGAATCATCATCAACTGATGGCTACTCATGGCCACCACCACCACCACCTCACAGATCTTCCATGAATGTCGATCTAGAAAGCTTCGTGGCCAACGATTTTTTGTTCTCCAAGATCAAAGATGAAATGCCTGCAGCCGAAACCTTCCACAATAATAGCAACTATTTGACGACTACTACTACTTCTGGCTTCTCATCAGCAGATCACCATCATCATTATCAGTTCTACCCTAGTAGCCATCACCATCACGATGCAGACAGCAGAAAGGGTAGTAACTATTTCCTGAATTCTGAAACTCCAGAGGATTCAAGTTGTGGTAGCAGATCTTCGTATAGTCATGTCATGCCGAGTATAAACGTGTTGACCTCGGATAATCTGTGCTCTTCTCTGGTGTCAAGCTCTCTAGACTTGAACTTAAGATCCGCCGCGGATAATCATCATCATCATCATCATCATCGTCATCTGAACCTTACTTCATCGTCATATGATGGTATTGCTGCTGGTAGCTCCTCCGGACTTAATACTACTGTCTCGAGAAACAGCAGCATCAGTCACCATTTCATTGGAGATAGTCCAACACACAGTTCTTCAAATAATAATAATAATAGTAAAGTAAGTTGCTTTTTCTTCTCTTCTCTTAATTTCTTGGTCTTGTTTACATATATTGATTGCCATCGCGCCATAGTTATATATCTTAAAGCATATGTAGACTAGCCTTTCACATATAAATTTAGGTTAATTAGCATACATATCTCTGGCTTACGCGTTAATCTTATATAATATGTCCATCGAGTCTTGCTATTTAGACCATGAAAATTGGAGTTTGCGCATGATACTAAACTATAACTTCTAATGGGTGAACCCCGTTCTTAATTCCCTAACCCAAATTACAAAATCTAAAAAGTAAAAATCGACAATTCTGATTTGTCAAGAAATATCGAAGTATTAAGTGTGAAGTTACGCGCTTGATTATCTTTTTTTTTATCCGAAATTTCAGAAGACATCAGGTGGTACTGAAGACATATCACTTGGGAGGAAGAGTACTACTAAGAGGTCCATTAGTACCTTTTCTGGATCGAACTCATCGCCATCGAAGAAACTAGTTAATCCCACAGATGATAATAAGAAGCAACGGTCAACCTCAAGACACTCTTGCCCTCCATTGAAGGTGAGCAATCGTTGTGGTCTTTTTGAATTCATTGTTGCTTGAGACTATGGGTTTATCTTGGACTACTTTCTTTGCAGGTTAGGAAGGAGAAACTTGGAGACAGAATTGCTGCTCTTCAGAGGCTGGTGGCACCTTACGGCAAGGTACTCAACAGTAAATAAATACTACTGTAGATATAACAATATAGTATAGTAATCGCGCGTGAGGAAATGTGACAGTAGTCACGTATAATAATAAGTTAACAAATACAATATGATTTTGACCATGCTTTCGAATTTCATACGACCCTTTAATTTTTTTTTGTTGTTTCTTTCCTCGACGACCGTTTGGAAATTGTGCAGACAGACACTGCCTCAGTATTGACCGAAGCTATTGGGTACATACAATTCCTCCATGACCAAGTTCAGGTACTGATCATCACAATAAATAGATCATTCATTCATCTTTATCATTAATTAACAACATTTGATTGATGAAAGATCTGATTCGGCGTTTTTAATTAGGGTTTAATTGTGCAATCATAATTTGTTTTGCTTTACATAAAACAGACACTGAGTGTGCCTTACATGAGGTCATCACCAAACAACAAGCCGAATAGGTCAATGATCATGGTTAGGGTAATTATCTGAGTCGCGCTTCATTGTTTTTTTTTACTGTTAGTTAATTACTTTCTTGTTGATCTTTTGTAAAAATAAAATTTTCCTTTATATTGTCGGGAGATGGTGTTGTTGAGTTTGAGTCGATTTTGCAGAATTCAAGTGAGGAAGATCGTCTTCAGCATGGGAAGGGGGAATCAGCAGATCTCACAAGTAGAGGTCTCTGCCTTGTGTCCCAGTCTTTTGCTTCGTATTTAAACGGCTACAATAATGTTGGCATCTGACCGATGAACAAAAGCCATGCAGCCACGTATACATGCATTAGATTAATTTCTCGTCAAGAACCAGTCAAGTTTTTACTATTTACTTTCCCACCCAAAGGTTATAAACATTTGGATTTATATTACGAATTGGAATATGTCAACATTTCAGTGAATTCTTATTGTGCAAATTTATACTATATGCAAAGGGGTGCATATCGCAAAGTTTGGCCACTCCGTATTTTAAGTTCTTTTACATTTCACTCGAACTTTTTTTCTTCCGGTTATTACTTGTCACTAACTTTAAATCAACGTTTTATTGTTGGTCACTGACCGTTTAGTTCAATAATTCCGTCTTATATGACAGTCAACCGGCGATGTTTGACGATTAAGTGGTTCATGTGTCAATTAAAAAATAATAAAATTAAATTAGACCTATTTATTTTAAAATTATCACCTCGTTTTTTTTCCGAAATAAAAGAAAAATTCATGGAAACGAAAAAGAACTCACCGTTCTTCAGTGTTTTTGTTTTTTAGACCCTCTAATTCTGTTTGTAGCTGAAACAATTAAGATAACGAACCTGCATATGTTTTCTCTGTTAGAATTCCTGATATGCAATGTCTACAAAGCTCCAGAAATTAACAATACATATTAGCCAACTAGTTTGGAAAACAATTCCGCCATGCACTTAACCTACCACCATTAAAAATATCATGATATTGCAATCTAATGGTGGTGGAAGGAGGCGTGAGTTGGAGCACAAATATCGAACCTCATTTGTGGCATGGACAAGTAGCAGAGCAAGCAAAGCAAAGTAGCAGAGCAAAGAATTTGAGAGTTTTTTTTTTTTTTTTTTGTGTAAAGGCAATAATTGTTGAGCTTGTCACTTGTGAGTGTCAAATAGTTGAGTGATAGTAAAAATTCCTCTTGAACTCGATTTTACACTCCACTGTATTTTTTTTCATATCTAACAAATTTGGTATAAGAATTGATACGATGAAAATTTTCATTTAACATGGCAGATTGGCAGCAGCCCAGGTGAACAAAATATTCGTAAATAGCCAGATTCAAATCTTAATCTTCAAGGTCGAATTTACGAGTATTGGATAGCTCAAATGAAGGCAATCTTCATTTTTCAAGACTTGTGGGCTATCGTCCAAAAAGATTAAGAGAGAATTTATTGAGTATAATATCAAGATAAAACTCGCTCCCCATATATCTCTTAGGATTGTAGGTTGCTGGTCCAAAAATAAGCTCCTTTAGCTTGGGTCACGTGACGTCTTATATCCAGAGACTTGCACTTCAATTAAGGTCCATTCCGAATTTCATCTTAAACCTACTTGTACCTGAAAGTCACAAAAAAACAACCCAGAGGTCGTCTAATAATATAGAAACACACATAGGATAGGGCTGGCTATTTGGTCCAGATTTTTTGGTTTTACCCGAAATCGGACCGTATAACCAGGATCGAGACCGAATCGGGATCGGATAACAAACAATCCAATCCAATTTTCGGGCCTTGATTTGAGGTTAAAAATCGTTTGGGACCGGACCGAAAACCGGATAAAGACCGGATAAGAGAGCCCAACACACAAAATTTAACCTCCACACTCTTTAAGGCCTTAGGCCACTCAAATCTCCTCCCCACCTCAGGCCACTCAAATCCTCACAAGCTCAATCTAAAATCAAGACCGAATTGGGACAGGACCGGTTCAAGACCGGACTGTATCCAATCCAATATTTGGTCCTTATATTCTAGAAAAGACCGGACAGGGACCCGATCAATTGGGGCAATTTAACAATACCGGAACGTATAGTCACCCCTACATAGGATCCAATAATCGTATCTTTGATGGTTTATTGCAATTTGATATAATAATAAAAAAAAACAAAGAATGTGCCAAGTAGAGATGGTTTTACCTGAAAATATGAGTAGAAAATATCACTTTTTCAAGTGTCTTCATCTCTGTTAGGTAACAAAGGAGGTTCGGTCAACGTAGTTGCTAATGCCTGCCCATCCATGTGATGGCTTGTTTCTTGCTTCCATATCATTCTTCTGATCTCTAGATAGCCATTTCGCTTGTGTCCAAGCAAAATGAGGGCAAGATAGGTTTTTGGCATTTCAAGGAAACCAATCATGTTCTTCTAAAGTTGGCATGGTGAAATCTGTAATGAGCTAGAGTCTATATATGTTAGCTTGTTTATACAAGGGGAGGTACTTTTTGAGTTCCTTTGTCTGACCTTTTGCTACCATGGGGATGACACAAGATCCTACAAGGTTGCGATTCTATGCAATGAGATTTGTTGACAGAGATATATATGGTCAGGCACGACAGTGGAGGTTTTAACAGAAAATTGGGACTCTTCACGCCCTTGTCATGAGATCGTTGTAGTGCAATGGATTATGGCATCCTTAATACAGCCAACCAAGGGTCCCCGTGTGTGGATTGCATGAGGTAAATGTTTGAGGTGGATGCATTATGTGTGATAATGGATATTGTTTTGTGATCCCTTGTAGAACATAGTCACTTTAACGGAGTATATACGAAGGCTACTCATATCGTTTTCTCGTAAGGTTTCTATCCTATATGTTACTCAAAAAGATACACTGATAAATAAGGATGTTATGAGGGATCGACAGATTTTACCTTCCTGTCACGGACCACAGAGGAGAGTGTAAAGCTTTTTGTTTTTAGTCAAAGATCGTTTTTTTAATTTCTCATTTTTCTTAATCGGGTTATATATATTTTGTTTTAACTCGGAATTTAAAGAATTTTTCATAGAAATGATCACAAATATATTCATTTGCTATAATTTGAGCAAAAAAAATCTCATCAAAATACATAGTGTTTGTAGTATTATCACTATCATACCATAATATTATCACTATGGTAATATTAATGGTACATCATACCACTATCATATCATGATATATCACTATAATATTGTGATGATATGATCAAATTATTTTGTCAAACATAATACCTCATACCAACATCATATCACTATCACATCACGATATTATCATTATACCATAGTGATAATAGTATCATATGAGAGTAATATGATGTCATCAAATCATTTTGTCTAACATAAAACCACATACCAACATCATACAACAGTGCTCAAGACCTCAATTTTTTTTTCAAAAACAGTATCGAAATGGATATACTTGTAGAGCACAAAAAATATGATATTTACAGACAAATCTTTTTGAAATCCGATGTAAAACGAATGAGCTATGATACATTCAATTTTCGGAAAATATTTAAAAAGTGCTTTAACAGCACACCCATTATTTGTGTGCAACCCCAAAGACCCGTCGATCTGTCCAAAAAATTCGGACAACTGTCTGATGATTCCCTATTTCTTTCCTTACCCTTTTATGGGGCTAAGATCAGGTGACTAAGGGGGGTCCCCTTAGTCACATGGCTAAGTGAATCTCAACCACTCAACCTCATTAAAATCTAAGGGCTCCTATTAATCCAATTTAATGAAGGGCATTATAGTAATTGCATGTTTAATTTTTACTTTTAATTATAAAATAAAAAAAACAGGCGTCCGCGTCGGCCCGTCCCTTGCGCCGCTTCGTCTCCGTCCAATTTCCGGGACGACCGCTTCGTCTCCATCCAATTTCCGGGGCAAGAAATTGCTCCCATCATCCGCCATTATTCCCTGGAATTCCCCAGAGAGAGAGAGGTGCTGGGAACTCTTGTGGAATTCCCCACTTCAACTGAGAGAGAGAGAGAGAGAGAGAGAGAGAGAGAGAGAGAGAGAGAGAGAGAGAGAGAGAGAGAGAGAGAGAGAGAGAGAGAGAGAGAGAGAGAGAGAGAGAGAGAGAGAGAGAGAGAGAGAGAGTATTTTTTGTCGGAACATTTTTCCGGCGAACATCGTCGCCGGAGAAGAATTTCCCGGCGACAGTGCTAATTTTGTGATGTTTGTTGACATATTTTGTAATGTTTGTATGCTTTGTTATATTGTAATGTTTGTCGGTTTTTTTGTAATGTTTGTAAACTTTGTTATTTTTGTGCACCATGTTTGTAAACTTTGTCATTTTTGTGCACCATGTTCGTAATGTTTTTTATGTCTAACAAATACCCGGGTTGACTTTGGGAAGGAGCCCCTCTATATAGGGATGAAGCCTCCAAAGTCAACCCGAGTGTTTTTTCCCGTTCGTATGGATTGTCGGTCTAGTTTGTAATTTTTGTCCACCATGTTCGTACTGTTTGTATGTCTAAAAAACACCCGGGTTGACTTTGGGAAGGAGCCCCTCTATATAGGGATGGAGCCTCAAAAGTCAACCCGGTTGTTTTTTCTTTTTGTATGGTTTGTATTGTTTGTCGGTCTAGTTTGTATTGTTTGTATTGTTTGTACAGTTCATACGTTTGTAATGTTTGTAAATCTGTTTGTATGTTTTGTCGCTCTAGTTTGTATTGTTCGTATGTTTGTATGGTTTGTACTGATTGTAAATCCGGTTTGTATACTTCGTAATTTTCCATAATACCCAAACTACCCCTGTCATTAATTAAATAGCCTTTCCCACTTTTTAACCATTAGATTGAAGTGTCCAGATCTAAGGGCTGGGAGGGGCTTAGTCAAGTGACTAAGCACCCCCCCTTAGTCACCAGATCCGCTCTCCCCTTTTATGATATCAACCATTAGATATGTTCCTTTTGAATTACAATCATCATATTAGAATTTGTCCTACTACAGATATGAAACGTTTTGTATTGTAACCTAAGTCTATATTAACTAAGATAATAAGTATAATGTTTGCATGCTATCCACACAATCAAAGACAAAAAAAAAAAGATGGAAAATCAAAGCACGCCCAAACTAGCATGCGCTGCCAACTGCCAAACACAACCCAAAACTGCTGCCATGCACGAATTGAAACCATAGTCATCCCTTCACTACCATTGTGCAATCCTAGCGCTTCTCAGTTATGATCATTGAAAGTTTTCCCATTATGACTCAAAGTGACATATCGATTGATCGGATTCACTAGCCAATCACAAATTGA